AGTGTAATAGTGAAAGTATTGGAAAAACTAATAAAAACTAAATGGGTAGAACACCTAGAGAGAAATGATATAATATCAGACAGACAGTATGGTTTTCGATCTGGAAGATCCTGTGTATCGAATTTACTCAGTTTCTATGATCGAGCCACAGAGATATTACAGGAAAGAGATGGTTGGGTTGACTGCATCTATCTGGACCTAAAAAAGGCTTTCGACAGAGTTCCACATAAGAGGTTGTTCTGGAAACTGGAAAATATTGGAGGGGTGACAGGTAAGCTTCTATCATGGATGAAAAATTTTCTGACTGATAGAAAAATGAGGGCAGTAATCAGAGGCAATGTATCGGAATGGAGAAATGTCACAAGTGGAGTACCACAGGGTTCAGTTCTTGCACCAGTGATGTTTATTGTGTACATAAATGATCTACCAGTTGGTATACAGAATTATATGAACATGTTTGCTGATGATGCTAAGATAATAGGAAGGATAAGAAATTTAGATGACTGTCATGCCCTTCAAGAAGACCTGGACAAAATAAGTATATGGAGCACCACTTGGCAAATGGAATTTAATGTTAATAAATGTCATGTTATGGAATGTGGAATAGGAGAACATAGACCCCACACAACCTATATATTATGTGAGAAATCTTTAAAGAATTCTGATAAAGAAAGAGATCTAGGAGTGGTTCTAGATAGAAAACTATCACCTGAGGACCACATAAAGAATATTGTGCAAGGAGCCTATGCTATGCTTTCTAACTTCAGAATTGCATTTAAATACATGGATGGCGATATACTAAAGAAATTGTTCATGACTTTTGTTAGGCCAAAGCTAGAATATGCAGCTGTTGTGTGGTGCCCATATCTTAAGAAGCACATCAACAAACTGGAAAAGGTGCAAAGACATGCTACTAAGTGGCTCCCAGAACTGAAGGGCAAGAGCTACGAGGAGAGGTTAGAAGCATTAAATATGCCAAAACTAGAAGACAGAAGAAAAAGAGGTGATATGATCACTACATACAAAATAGTAACAGGAATTGATAAAATCGACAGGGAAGACTTCCTGAGACCTGGAATTTCAAGAACAAGAGGTCATAGATTTAAACTAGCTAAACACAGATGCCGAAGAAATATAAGAAAATTCACCTTCGCAAATAGAGTGGTAGACGGTTGGAACAAGTTAAGTGAGAAGGTGGTGGAGGCCAAGACCGTCAGTAGTTTCAAAGCGTTATATGACAAAGAGTGCTGGGAAGACGGGACACCACGAGCGTAGCTCTCATCCTGTAACTACACTTAGGTAATTACACACATATATATACATATATATATACACACATATATATATACACATACATATATATACATATATATATATATATATATATATATATATATATATATATATATATATATATATATATATATATATATATATATATATATATATATATATATATATATATATATATATATATATATATATATATATATATATATATATATATATATATATATATATATATATATATATATATATATATATATATATATATATATATATATATATATATATATATATATATATATATATATATATATATACATATACAGTGGTACCTCGGAATGCGAGTGTCCCTGTATGCGAGTTTTTCGGAAGACGAGCTGGATTTCCTCGGAAAATAAGTCTCGGAAGGCGAGGGTTACCTCGGAACGTGAGTTTGTTGATACGTGTACAGGCCGACTGGCGCGTGGTGGCATGGCGATCGCGCCTCAGTTTACCAGTGTCTCGTGTCCAGTGACTATCCCACCTGAATTCTTCACAAGGATTTACAGTTTTTTTATCGTTTTTTTGGCCATTTGAGCATAAAAGTTGTCATTATATATCTTGTCATGGGTCTGAAGAAAGCCATTGGTAAGGTTCAACCTAAGAAAATAGCTGTGAGTAGAGGCAGTAGAGGATGTCCCTTCTTGATTAAGAAAATGTGTGAAGAATGGGAAGAACTGCAAAGTTTTGTTGAAAAAACTCACCCAGATAAAGCTGTAGCAGGCGTTGCATTGACCTTTTAAATGATAATGTGATGTCTTACTACAGACAAGTGTTAAAATGTAGGGAAAAACAAGTGTCATTAGACAAATTCTTAGTAAAACAAGCAAGTCCTAGTGGTATGCAGGCAAAATGTGCCAGAGTGTGCATACCAGTGAAGTCCTCACTGCCTGATGTGATAATGGAAGGGGACTCCCCTTCCAAACAGTAACTCCTCTCTTCCTCCCACCTCCTCACCATCTTCCATACGCCTACAGCATTCAACAGCAAGGTAAGTAATAACTTGAACATAGTTTTGTAGGTTTATTTAGATGAATTAGGTATAAAAATTTAGTTTGATGTGGGGTTTTTGGGGTAGTCAGGAACGGATTAATTCATTTCCCATTATTTCTTATGGGGAAATTAGCTTCGGAATACGAGTTTTCGGAACACGAGGTGTCTCCAGGAACCAATTAAACTCTTAAACTGAGGTATGCCTGTATATATATATATTTATATATACATATATATATATATATATATATTTATATATACATATATATATATATATTTATATATACATACATATATTTATATATACATACATACATACAGGCAATTCCCCCAATTACAAACAAGCTATGTTCTGATCTTTGGGAAGTTTCTTTCACCCTGACGCTCCTGTTACCTAGCAGTAAATAGGTACCTGGGAATTAGACGGTTATGGGCTGATTCCTGGGTGTGTGTGTGGGGGAAAAAAATTAGTAACAGTTGACTGATTGACAGTTGAGCACCGGGCCGAAAGAGCAGAGCCCAACCCCCGCAAGTACAACTAGGTGAATACAGGGTTCCCTTCTATCCTCCAGTGGACGCGACCTTGTCACAGCAGCTCACACGTCGTATCGGGGGCTTCTCTCGCGGGCTCTTCACCGCCCTTTCCCGTTGACAACCCTCCTAGACTATCAGCAAAGAGCTCTTGGCACACTCACACCGTCGAAACTCTGCTTCCTTGTGCTCCCCTGGAGTCCACTAGTCTTCTCCAACGTCCGTAGTTGGAGACTGCTTCAACTAAGGACTGGCTCCAACTACCGAATCCTGGCTGCTTAAATCCACTGGGCGAGGCTTTGTGACCTTCAATCTGAAGAGCTCACTGTCGTGTGTCCGCGCTCTATGATGTCCGGTGAAACTCTGAACTCTGGTGGCGTACGTGGCTGGCGTCACGCCTAGGGGGCACAGCCCCTCCGGGCTTGGGTGGCTTGGTTGCCTGCATCAACAGGGTTTACCAGCATAGCAGGCTCCAGTGCCTAGGCTTCCTGCAGGGTGAATGAGCCCTGCAGGCCCTGGGAATCCCCCACAGGCTCAGCTGTACTATGGATACCTCTTCTTCGCCTTGTGTGAATTTGTGGGTTGTTCATTGCCTGTGCCATCGGGTGATGTTCATACATTCTTCCTCTATCATGCTGCTTGATGGGTTGATGACACCTATGACCCTGAGTCATGTGGGACTTGTTCCTTGCATGTGCTTCTTCTCACCCAATCCTCTGTGGAAGTTCAGAGGTACTCTATCTAATGGCAGCCACATTGTTTCACAGGTTTTCTGTTTTGCTGGGAACCAGTTTGTGTGCCCATTGGTTACCACAGATTGCCACGCCTCATAGCCCCTGTTTTTCAGTTCCAACACTGATTTAATTGCATGTCTTTGCGCCTTATCCAGTTTACTGATGTGCTGCTTGAAATATGGGCACCATACAACTGCTGCATACTCCAACTTTGGCCACACAAAATTCGTGAACAATTTCTTTAATATTTCACCATCCATGTGTTTAAAAGTAATTCTAAAGTTGGAAAGCATAGCATATGCTCCTTATACAATGTTCATTATTTGATCCTCAGGTGATAGATTTTTTTAATACAGCACCCCCTCTAGATTTTTCTTTATCAGAATTCTGAAAGCTTTTTCAGGTAGTTTGTAGGTTGTGTGTGTGTGTGGCCTATTTTCCCCTGTTCTACATTCCATTTATTACGTGGCATTTATTCACTTTAAAATCAAATTTCCTGCTGTTACTCCATACTTATTTTGCCCAGGTCTTCTTGAAGGGCATGACAAACAACTAAGTTTCTTATTTTCCCTAGTATAATCATTAATGCCTGCCTTTCAACCTTCCCTTATATTATATAGTGACAATGTGATGCAGTGGTACAGCTATACTGGACAGATATAATATGGCTTGCGCCTTGCATTAAACAAAAAAAAAAGTGCCAGTTTGGCCCTCGCAATGTGAAAATTGCGCAGGATTGAAAGAATAATTAGACAAAAATTTAACACAATTTGCTCTAATATTAATAATGAAAAATATCTGAAACCCCTGATAGAACACACTTGGTTAGCATACAAGAAAAATGATAACAATTACACATGGATACACTTGTGTTAATACAACAATATAGGTGAGACTGAAGGACTATTTACATAAACAATAGAACATGCACATGAAGCAGCGGGAGGCAGGCATCGAGTGTAGGTCGTAATGTTGTACCCTGAACACCTGAGGAGAGACTACTGCAGTGAGGGAGATTAGGTGTACCCTTACCCCTGCTGGTGACATCACGTCCTTTGTCACCGAGGCTTGGAACTACAAGCTGGCAGCAGGACTGTGTGTTACCCACAGGTAACCATGAACTGGCAGGTCTGATCTTGTACCTGCCTGGGGCTCTGGCACAGGGTGGAGGGTGACAGGGGGATGCTTTCCAGACATATGTCTGGGTTGAATGTCATACTGGTCGTATATAGGCGGTATGCAGAGTTATGTTCATGAAGGTGAGTAGGAAGAGGCAATTTCCTCTGCTATGCTGGGGAGTTATTTGATAATATAATGCAAACTCTTGTTAATATCAATACTGATATTTATGCTGCACTCTTTACTTAATATGAGAAAAAACATAAAATGACATCCAAATATATAACCCTTTCTCAGCTGTGGAATTGATGGATTTTGGTGGTGAAGTTACCTTCCCAGAAATAATTCCATTAGAACCTACAAAGCTGGAGTTCTCATCCTTGGACATTAATACCCAGCAGCAGCTCTCCGATATCATAGAGAGAGATATCTTCACCTTCAACAAGTATGTTATTCATTATATATTAGTACTCAGTATATGGGCAGATTAACATAAGACATTTAGGTTGAATAAAAGAATTTATTCATCAAAATTGCATGCTCCTGATTATAAAAATAAAGTACTGTATGTTACAAATGTGGCATTGAAAGTTTTGTACAAAAAAGTTTAGACAGGTAAAAAAAATTGTATACACTTTAACCGTATATGCTGTATGCCTTTCCAGGCCCTGCTCAGTGACTCTTAAAATGTTTATAATTTTTCAAGAACTGTTACTTTCTGGGGGGAGCCCCTTCGAGTCCCTGGAGCTAACCGGGCTAATATGAATGTATTACACTCACATCAGTTAATGCACACGAAGTTCTAAGCCTACTGGGGGCCAGAACCTGGCCCCCCTCAGAAAGGCACGAGGAGCAATGGCCTATAGAAACCCCGTGTGGTTGGAAGCATTCTATGTCTGCCATCGACCAGGTTAGGCACCCAGAAAGGTAAGTGCCCCAAAACAAACCCCCTATTCTGGTGAAACTATTTCTACCGAAAGCCGAATGAGTGGACAGCACTCCCCAAACGAAAATTAGCAAACTAGCATGAAGTTATCATGTTGCTGTGCCACTGTCTATGCATTCCCCCCTCCCTGGGAGGGGGAAGGGGAAGCCCCAGGCCCCTGCGCCGGCTATCCACCCTTCAGTTCTGTGGCTGATGTGAACTGGCAAGGTTGTGTGCCTCTAGTTTCCATTTTCGAGTCCTGTGCCATGTGCTGTGGTGCTGTCTAATTGGTGGTGTGCAAGCCAGGAGTAATTTCACAAGTACTTGGGCTGCATGCATCTAGGGTTCCCTTCCCTAGGTGCCTGGTAAGTACTGCCCTTGGGGCTTGGGGTCACCTTCCACAAGGTAAGGTAATTATCAGGAGAAAGTTAACTTTCTTGGACTTTCTTTTTTCAAGGGCGTGTAGGGCGGCTTGGCCCCAGGTCTTCATGGGGAGGTTCCCGGGGATGGGGGAAAAGTTGACTTGGGGGCGTTGGGCCCTGTTGGACCCCGCTTGGGTTTTTGTACCCACAGAGTGGGGCTTGACGTTACAGGGAGTGGGGTTTTCTTTTCCTCCCTCCTCGTACGAGTTGGATTTGGCGTCAATCCCTCCCTAGGTTCGGTTCCGTGCTCCCTTGGGTTCTTTGGTCCCGTCCTTCCAGAGATTTTCGGCCTCTTGCATCCCTCCGCATGTGGTGCGGGAGGCCATTGCGGCTTACCTCCTGCTCAACCTGGACAACGCCTCCATAATGGATCCTTCTTTCTTTGTGTTTGGATCACCAAACCCTTTCGCGGTTTGTCCTGTTGACGGGGCGATGGGGAGGAGTCTCGCCCTGTTTGCTCACGCCTGGTCCCATGATTTGTAGGCCTTTTGGGTTGTTTCGTGTGGCCTGCGGTGGCGTTGGGTGTCCCCATCTTCTTCGAGGGATTCCGGGTTGGTGGGGCAGGTCTCTTTTCTTGCACTCTGTCTGGTTATCTTAGAGTGGGTTTGCTTCGGTGTGGTCAAAACGACCTCGTCCCTTCGGTGGGTTTACCGCCTGTTTCGGTTCCGAAACAGGACTGTGCGGACCTCAGGTTCATTCTGGATTTGTCTCATCTGACCCTGTGGGTTTATTACCCTCCTTTTGGATGACTACTCTGTCCCAGGTACATCCTCTGTTGGAGCCGGATACTTGGATGGTGTCACTGGACCTTCGGGATGCGTATTGGCACGTCCCAATTCATCTGGGGTTCAGGGACTGGCTCGGTTTTGTTGTGGGGCATCAAGGTTACAACTTTCGCTGCCCTCCATTCGGCTTGAATTTGGCAATCTGGCTCCTTGTGTTTTCACACGCCCTTACCCAGATCATGGTAGCCCATTTGCTTCTGTTAGGGGTTTGGGTTATGGTCTACCTCGACAACTGGTTGGTGTGGGCTCCCAGCCAGTCCGTATGTCTGCTTGCCAGGGATTTGATTCTTTCCCAGCTTGCCGTGTTTGGGTTCCTGGTGAACTGGAGGAAGTCCCATCTGGTTCCCTCTCAGGTTCGGTCTTGGCTGGGTCTTGTATGGGACTCTAGGACCACTCCTTGTCTCTCCCTCTGGAGGCTCTGCTTCGATTGCAGTCCTGCCTTCACCTGTTTCTGGGGGGCTCCAGGATCGTGCACGGTTGCTCGAAGGTTTGTGCAGGAGCCTGAACTTTGCTGTGATGGTCTACCCACCGGGTCGGGTTTGAACACCAAGCAAGCAGCGTCTGAAACCAAGACTGGGCTGGCCATCAAGGGGCCAGAAAGGGGCCAGACAATTTACTTTTAAATTGTCTCTTCAGGTTATTCAGGGCTCAATGCCTTGGCGCCTAGCTGAGCCCTCGCTCGATGTGTTCACGGACATGTCATCTCTTGGCTGGGGCTTTGTGACCAGGCCAGCCAGGGTCGGTAGGCGATCCGGCTCCATTCAGACTGTTCCCCAGTGGTTCATTGTCTGAACCGTGATGGTTTGATGCAATCCTTGGCACTTTGGGGCTGGTTGCTTCGGGTGACTAGTTTGCTGATTTCTCAGGGTTTTGCTTCCTGGCAGTTCACGTTCGTGGAGTGTTCAACTTCCTGGCAGACGGCCTGTCTCGGTTCATTCCCTTGTCCACGGAATGGATGGTCGACGCTGACTCGTTCAGTTGGCTCTGCTGAACGTATGGGCTCCCGGAGGTGGATCTCTTCACGTCGGCATGGTCGAGGCATCTCCCGGTATATTTGGCGCCCTTCCTCTGACTGCGAGGCCGTCAGGGTCGATGCCTTCAGGCAAGACTGGTCGACTGTACCTCTTTCCCAGTTCCGCTGTTGCTCCAGGTCCTGTCTCGCTTGGAGACTTACCAAGGGAGAGTTGTCTTTCTGGCCCCTTGGTGGCCGGCCCAGCCTTGGTTTCAGATGCTGCCTGCTTGGTGTTCAGGGAAGACCCCCATCCCCTTCCTCCCCCGAGGGTCTTCCAGCTCTGCCTCTTTCAACAGATCTGTCCGGTCCGTTACATGGCTGTTTCGATCTTCTCCTCGAGTTTTCGCTTCTGGTTTTTCTGACTTGAGTCTATCACTACTTGTATGGTAAGCAGGTAGCTTCATTGATGGTGTCCCACCTGCGTTATTCGTCTCGGTGGCAGTATAAAGTTTCCTGGTGGTCCTTCCATTTTTTCTTATAACTTCGTAGGTTTACTTCTTTCTCTGATAGGGTTGTCTTGTCCTTCCTCTTGCGGTTGTTCCAGGACCGTCATCTTATGCCGAATACTGTCTCCTCGTATCATGCAGCACTGGCTGAGCCACTGCAGCTTGCATTCAGCATTGATGATACTTCTACACTGTTCTGCAAAGTGTCTCTGGCTTTGTTTCACCTCCAACCTGTTCCTGTGCTGTCTAAGTCATCTTGGTCATTGGACCAGGTGCTCTCTTTCCAATCTTCACCTCAGTTTGTGGTTGCCCATTCGTTTCAGGATTGTTTTGCCAAGGCTCTTTTCTTATTGGCATTGGCCTCTGAGGGTTGGGTTGGGGAGCTTCATGTTCTCCTCTGGCACAGGGGTTTCTGCTCTTTCGGTCCTGGTAGTTGGTTTGTTCATTTGCAGCCGTCTCCTTTTCTGGCGAAGAATAAGATGATGGCTTTCTGGAGGAGCCCTTGGGTCATTGATGCTTGGTTGGTCTGGCCGTGGGTGCATCATGTGTTGAACCTGGTTGCGGTTCTTTGTAATTTTTTTGCACGCCTTGGCTTTGGTGGCCAGGAATGTGCTTTGGGTTGATCCGGTTTCCCTTGTTCCCTGTTCCAGGGCTTGGGTCTCCCAGCCAGGGCTTGGGTCTCCCAGGTCATATGCAGGGTTATTTGGTCTAGCCAGCCTGCGGTCTATCCTCCTGCCCATGACGTTCGTAAGTTTGCTGCACTGGCTGCCGTCTTCAATAACATATCTTGGGCTAACATTTGGGCACCGGGTTTTTAGAGGTCGAACAAGGCCCTGGCCGCTCGCTACCTTGTCAGTGTTCCTGGGCCTAGTCAGGCCTGTGTTGCATTGGGTCAGCAGTTGCAGCCAGTTGTCTCGACTTCCCGTTGAGGAGCGAGCGCTGACCGCCTCCCAGGTAAGTCCCTCTTGTTTTGTCTTCAGGTAAGTAGCTCCAGGGAGCTGAAGTGGCTCTCCTCAGAAAACCAGCATTGAATGTAATGATATGCCATTATCTGGGTGAGACCCAGAGGCTCCCCGCCATCCCTCCTTCTCTCCGATCGGCATTTTTTTCGCAGTTTGATATCTAGGTTCAAAACTGCAGGGTGGATAGCCTGTGTGGGGGTCTGGGGCTCCCCCTTTCCTCTCCCTGGGAAGGGGAGGAAGGTTGCGCAGACAGCGTCGCGGTGACTTGGTGACGTCATGCTCGTTTGCTCGTTTTCGTTTTCGGAGTTCTGTCCACTGGTTTAGCTTTCAGTAGCAATATTTTAACCAGAATAGGGGGTTTGTTTTTGGGCGCTTACCTTTCTAGGTGCCTATCTTGATCATTGGCAGATATAGAAAGCTTCCAACCACACGGGTTTCTATAGGCCATTACTCCTCATGCTTCTCTGAGGAAGTCCAGGTTCTGGCTCGTGGTCCCCGGTAGGCCTAAAACTCCATGTGCATTGACTGATGCCAGGGTCTAATACATTCATATCAGCCCGATTAGCTCCTGGAAGCCTCCGGGTCTCACCAGATCCTGGCGTTTCATTACATTTAACGCTGGTTTTTTGGGTTATAAGTACCTGTACTTTATAAATTTGATGTCAAAATGTTCGCACATGAATTTTCTAGAGTATTATTATTTTTGAACATAAATAATAATTTAAGTTATGGAAATATGTGCATGTGAACAGTTTATATTTGCTTTTAATAGAAAACAAATATAACTTTTACGTTTCTTACAGAAAAGTTGCAAAGCATTGTGAAAATATTCAAAAGCAGAGCAGTTACATAATTGAGTGATGGGTGTTGGCTAGAGGTGATCTCTAGAGCATCCCTCGAATCTCTGGTTGGTCCCTGCTAATAAGCTTTGCCTTTACTGTGTATGGAAAATTTATACTGTTATATACTAAGATATCTCTGCTCATACAAATCCTAGCCCTAGGAGTTCTTAATATCCTACCAGATTCCAGAGGCCAAATGCCCCCTTCCCCCTCTTCTCCTTACAGAGGTGCGTGGAGCAGGGGATATTTGATCACCCTCACTGAAGAAATAACTCCCAGAAAGTAAGTGATGCAAAACAGACTACTGTATGTTCACAGAAAGGAAACAAATGAAGTGGCAAATGACTTGACAAACGATCCACCCAGTAGTAAGGTTATACCATCTTCCCAGTAACAGCTGGCTATCACCAAGTTATAGCACTGTGGGAGGTGCTGGCTCCCCATATCAACAATTTGTCCTTTGCCTGATATCAACAGTTGCAGACCACTCCTTGAATTACCAGCTCTTTGGGTCCCAGAATTTTTCTCGGCGAGTGTTGGTTATCTTTTGTATTTTGCCTCGTGGGGAACCCATTTGTTTGTGTATTGTATTAATATATAATGTTTACATGTCTCGCTGTGTGGAATGGAAAGTGTTCAGCTCAAGCTCTTTGTGCTTAGTGCTGGCCTTTCCAAGGTTCTTGTTTGTGTTTCCCTTGCACTCTCAAGGTAAGTTTCCTGGTGTGTTAGTGTCCCATCCCAAATCCTTATTCTGACCCCTTCCAAGTGCTATATAGTTGTAATGGCTTGGCACTTTCCCCTGATAATTCCCTCCCTCCTCCTGCAAGGTTTTGAGAATGAGGAAATCTAGGGGTTTATTGATTGAGGTGCATGGGGTTTGTGTGCTTGTACATACAGCACACTGCTGACACCCTTTGCAGTTGCATTTTCTTTGTGTGGCACTCAGTGTCAGTTCATTCCGTGAGCATGCCTAAGTCTCTGAGTGCCCTGCTTGGTCGATACTTTTAGATCCTGGCAAGCCACATGGATCTTTGATGTGGATCATTAGTGATTTGTCCACTAAGCACGCTTATGCTTCTTGGGAAGCATAAGCTACTTGGAAATTGAGGGATTTCCATCAGTTTTGCTATTAACCAATGGCTGTGCTTCTCCCTCTGCTCCCTTTTGCATGGATATTATCCTCTACTCAGTGGCCTACAATATTTGTGTTTGCTGGGGGGGGGTTCTATTTTTAGTTATCTGAGCCTCTGACAATTGATTTTCGTTATTTTATTTCTGGAAAGAGCCCCTTATGGCTTCCTGATGCAATCAATTCTGATAGTGCCATACTACTAGGTGCCATTAGTCATGAAGTTCTATTGGCTTACCGGGGACCGCAAGCCAGAACCTGGTCCCCTTGAAGAGGTGCAGGGAGTGGCGGCACATATGGTAAAATTACTACGAATTTATTCATGTCTGCCACCAACAGGGAAGCACCCAGAAAGTCAACAAAGCAAAACAAACCACTGGTGGTTATAAGTGAGACCACAGCCTAAAAATAGTTGAAAGAACTTCCCCAGCAATGTAAACAAATGGTTGAAAATTCATGAAACTAGCGAGAGTTTGTTCACCCCCTCTTCCCCCTTGTTAAGGATAGAAAAGGTTGGCAGCCAAGGGTCAACCAGCTGCACTACTGTCAGTTCTATTCTGATAGTAGGGAGTGTGAGGTGCCCTCTTTGTTGCTCTACCTGCAGTGTCCTGATTTTCAGGACACTGCTGAAAAATAGTGTCCTGTTAAAAAAAAAAAATCCTCTCTTCTTTGGGTGCCCCTGTATTGGTGCGCTTGCACTGCCAGGGTTATCTTATCTGGGGTGTTTGGGAATAATCCATTTGGATATTCTCTTCGCTTGGACAAAGTGTGAACAGAAACACACAATACATTTGTAAATTCACACACTAGCCTATGCCAGGAAATCTCCCGGTGTTATAACATTCTTACGCTACCATAACATAATGACCAGAACTGGATCTCCTGAAATGTACTTCACATGTGGACATGGGGAATGTCATAAAAATATACAGACAAGAAATGTAATCAATACATAACCTCACACCAGTATGGAGTATAATAACTCTTGGACGGCCCTTCTTGTCCGACTTTATTAAACAACTGAATGTGTTTCCCATGTGACCAAACACACACTCGTCTGCACACATACACTCAGTTCAAGCCCTCCTTGATTGACAAGACGTCTACATAGGTGAAATCTCACGCGCTCTACACTTCCTGTCACCTATCAGGTGCTGAAAGGACAATGCTGGTGGACCCCCCTAGACACGAATCAGGGTTAGAGATAATAATCACCACTACAACACAAGGGGTACTAAATCAATTACTCAGGCCAGCCTTCAGACATACTACCCCATGTAAACATGAAGACTGAAGCACTGTAGTCTCGAAGATCAGCGGCGGCGCGGCTTGGGCTAGGAGTAGCCTGTGCAGAGCACAACATGGCTCTGTACAGTTCATACCCACCCTAACTTGCTGACTTTGTCCCTCCCTCAGGGTGAAGCAACGTGCTTGTACAAAATGGTGGCAAACATGGCGAACGACAATGTCCAGCACTTGGACCGAAATTCCCACAAATTTCTAGTGGAAAAACTGCCATGAACACTGGCGAGTTATTCTCAGATATCTCAACTGCTAAGTGACTTAAGCAGGAGATCAGGTGAAGTCTGATGATGACTGGAGATGGGAATTCATGACACAGTCCGTTACTCCTGCACATATGGTTTACCCACCACTACTTTTCCAGTCTTGTACATTCTTGTAATATACACACATATGACGAGTTCCCGGATTCTGCTCATTTCCTACAGACACATGTCGATGTCACGAGAATATAAAATGTACCTAGAAGTCACTAGAGACAGTAGTTTCACTTGGTCGCTGACCAAGCGAAATGTCAGACAAGCGTAGTGACTATGTGCAAATTGGTGTCTTGGGCCTAGAGCGCAAAGACGCTCACTTACTGGTTCTTCCTCAAACTTACCAATTACAGAGTCATGCACCTAGGGCTAAGGCCCTCAGCCATTCATGGCTTCCCCTTGCTTGGCACACTGGTGGTGACATCAGCTTGTTGCCATGGGAACGGCTCAGGCGGCTGGTACCACCCGCCTTCCCTCTCGCTCTGCTCGTCTCCCACAATCTAACAGTAAAACTGCTACACTTTCTAACTATTTCTACAAATGCATAGCAACTGCCATTGCAACATATTTGGAATGCTGATGGCCTAAGCTCTCCAACGAGAATAAGCACTTGATGTCTCGTGTACAGATTACCAAATCTAGACTGAGTACACAGCCATTTACGTATATAGGTGCACAGCAGCGCTAGTGCAGTCCATACTCTGGTAGAAGATTTAGCTGGTCAAAATCCATACCCTCACAAGAAACTTATACCGTTCTGTAGATTTATCTTGGGGGGGGGGGGGGGGAGTTTGAGCACCTTAATGCGTGCTTGTTTGCCCCTGTGCATCCTCAGGATGATGGCCTTGTGCAGCTGCACGAGCCGGTTCCTACCTTTTCACTGTTCTCCAGGGCTCACCCAGAAAATGGCATTTCATTACATTCAATGCTGGTTTTTTCTTGTCCCTTAGTTCTTTTTTCCTTTATATGTACAATGTACATATAAATGTGTACTCACCTATTTGTACTCTCAATTGTGTGTGTGTGTGTGTGTGTGTGTGTGTGTGTAATTACCTAAGTGTAATTACCTAAGTGTAGTTACAGGATGAGAGCTACGCTCGTGGTGTCCCGTCTTCCCAGCACTCTTTGTCATATAACGCTTTGAAACTACTGATGGTCTTGGCCTCCACCACCTTCTCACTTAACTTGTTCCAACCGTCTACCACTCTGTTTGCGAAAGTGAATTTTCTTATATTTCTTCGGCATCTGTGTTTAGTTAGTTTATATATATGACCTCTTGTTCTTAAAGTTCCAGGTCTCAGGAAATCTTCCCTATCGATTTTATCAATTCCTGTTACTATTTTGTATGTAGTGATCATATCACCTCTTTTTCTTCTGTCTTCTAGTTTTGGCATATTTAATGCCTCTAACCTCTCCTCGTAGCTCTTGTCCTTCAGTTCTGGGAGCCACTTAGTAGCATGTCTTTGCACCTTTTCCAGTTTGTTGATTTCCAGTGTGTGTGTGTGTGTGTGTGTGTGTGTGTGTGTGTGTGTGTGTGTGTGTGTGTGTACTCATCTAATTGTGCTTGCGGGGGTTGAGCTCTGGGTCTTTGGTCCCGCCTCTCAACTGTCAATCAACAGGTGTACAGGTTCTTGAGCTTATTGGGCTCTATCATATCTATACTTGAAACTGTGTATGGAGTCAGCCTCCACCACATCACTTCCTAATGCATTCCATTTGTCAACCACTCTGACACTAAAAAAAGTTCTTTCTAATATCTCTGTGGCTCATTTGGGCACTCAGTTTCCACCTGTAATTACCTAAGTATAGTGTCCCCTAGTGCGTGTACCCCTTGTGTTCAATAGCCTGTCTTTATCTACCCTATCAATTCCCTTGAGATTGTTAAATGTGGTGATCATGTTCCCCTAACTCTTCTGTCTTCCAGCAAAGTGAGTTTTAATTCCCGTAGCCTCCTCTCAAACCATTGAACCTTTTCCAGTTTGGTCTTATCCTTGACTAGATATGGACTCCATGCTGGGGCTGCATACTCCAGGATTGGCCTGACATATGTGGTATACAAAGTTCTGAATGATTCCCGAATGATTGTGTGTGTGTATACGTAAGTTAATTTTTTATCACACTATGTTTATACATAATTTTCTTTTCTAGGGGTTCAGTGGAAGAGAGAGAGATATTATGGGAAAAACGACATTACTTGCACGAAGAACCCTTTGCTTTAGCCAAAGTTCTTCTAGCAGCTCACTCTTGGGACGTGTCATGCTTGCCAGACCTTCATTCTCTAATAAAGAACTGGGCCTCACCAGTGCCTTCAGATGCCTTACACCTTCTTTTACCATGGTGTGTAGAAAGTTGGGGCTCATTTTCGTGGACTGACAAATTTTGTACAATACAATATTACTTGGAAATATTTTTCAAACTTAGGTTTTAGAATTATTCTGAGGTAGGAATTGGATAAGGACTTAGCTATAATTTCAGTTGTTGTGAATGGTGTAATATATTTTGCCCCTGAAATTTTATACCAATCTAGTTCCATTATTTAAACTTGGCAATACATCTAATTCATATCCCATATAAACAATGTAGTAAGCATGGAATTTTTGCTAAGTACTGTACTGGGTGTTATCTTGAATGTGTCTCCTTCCATTTATATTTTGCTTCATGCAGTTTAATACAAGACAATTTTTCATTTAAATGTTAGAAACCAGTAATAATCATCATTACAAATATTTCTCTATTTTTAATTAGATTAAGTGTAGTATATACAGAAGTTTCTGCTTTTCAGAAGAAAATTTAATGTATATTTTATGAATGTGTTTGGGATTTTATATATTAGGATTTTAATATTCACATATAAAAGCATTCAATTATGCAATAAAGTTTTTGCCTGATTTGTTGCTTGAGGCACATGTTAAAATAATGTGAATGTTAGTTACCCTACAATGAAGCCTGTTTTATCCTTCCATATTATCTGATTTCCTGAAATTATCTTCATTCAAAGGAATTATCTGAATACCTGATATAGCCTTTTTGGCTTGTGTGCAATTGAGGTCCTTTGGTGATTGATTGGTACAGCTAGGGGTGCATCATTTGTCACAACTTGTGGTGGCTCTTTACCACTACCTGCATACCACAAATTCTGTTTTAGTAGATGCTTTGTTGGTTAATCCTATTTTCTTGATTCCCTGCACCAAGGCTTGCATTTCCTAGGTTGTCTGCAGGGTCATAAAATCTACCTAGCCTGCTTGCCAGGCCAATGTTGCTCGTAAGTATGCAGCTTTGGCTGCTGTCTATTATGTCATGGGCTTTTATTTGTGCTCAAGGATTTTTGTGTTCTATCAGAATGTTGGCAGTTCAGTATTTGGTTAATGTTCCTTAGCCCAAGTGGTCGTGTGTGGCTTTGTCATATCGCCCGTCCTGGGGTCTCTTCATCATCTTAACACTTTCGCACTCTTCTAACGCCGCTGGTGTCATCCATTTTTCTCTTGAGTCCGAGTCGGTGACTCGTGCTTGCGTTCATCTTTTAAAATATTTGTTAAAAATTTTAATTTTATCTGATCAATCTAGGAGTGGGTTTTAAAATGATCGCCTTTAGAGTGCGCACAATTTGATACCCAAATGAAAAATGTAACACGAAAGTTGATGTCGGAACACTGGAAAGATTATAAATACGTTTTTGGTCCAAATTTTAAAATATTTGTTAAAATTCTATTTATTGTCCTATTATTATGGGACTAGTTTTATAATGTGTGCCTTTAGATTGCTAACAATTTCATACCAAAATGAAAGATGTAACATGAAAAGTGATGTCAGAACACTGGAAAAATATAAATAATTTTGTGATGTGCATCCAATATTTGATAAAATTCCATTTATTGCTGTATTATTATGGGACTAGTTTTAAAATACATGCCTTTATGTTGCGAACAGTTTGATACCAAAACGAACGACGTTTTGCTTCGTTGCTTGTCGGTTTCGGCTTCGTTGCTTCGTCGCTTCGGTTTCTGGTGTTACGGTGCCCTCTCCTATTTCTTTCGTTTGCCGGCTTAAAGAGTCATATCAGCTCTCCCTACTGATTCTCTGAGGTTCAGGGAGTCTAATGATATATTTGGCGACCAGACCGGCTGCCATTTAATGGAAGGAGGTTATATTATAAGTTGTAAATAAAGGAAAGTTGGCGCCCTGATATAAAATGAAACAGTATCCCCTACGGCAGATATGACCTTGTGGAAGGGACACTATGCCAATCGCGGATTGGCCGACGTAGGTCGCGGGCGACAAATCAGGGCCCGCCATGACGTCACCGAGTGCCCCGGGCGGCGCCAACGTCAGAGTTGTACTGACCGTGGAAGCGACAGGACGCGCCTCGGTCTGCTCTCAAGAATTGGAGGCTCTGCAAGCCTTGTCCAGTGGATTGAGCTGACCATCGCCGCCAACATAGTTATTGGAGACCCTGCGCTTCTGGGAAGCCAAAGAGGAACCAAGTTCAGTGAGCAGAGAAGTGCCCAAACTTGGAAAATAGTCGGCGACGACGCTGGGCGGCGCCGCTGGCTGGACGTTGAGGTCTGGAAGGTGGGCGAGCAAGCTAGCTGTGACTGGGGTCACATCCACTGAGAATCTTGGAAGGACGACACAGTGCCTAGGACAAGGAGCGACGCCCTGTGGGAGAGGCGAGTGTGGGGAAAAATAGTGATTAGCTCAGCGCCCATCGATGAACCAGGATTGGGGCAGCTGAATCTCAGGGATTGGAACGGCGACGACGCGAAGGCTTCACGACTCCTGAGGACCTGTGGAACGCCCTGGATCGTCGAGGATCGACCCAAGGAAGCGTGGGAACCTCACACCATCGAGGGACAGGCGTCGTGAGCCAGGAGTGTAAGGTAGATCATTTTCCCTCCCATTACCCCTTGTATGAGTAGGCTAGTTAGGCCACAATATTTACTTGTGTATGTGGCAGCAAGACTTTATTACTTTAATAGTAGAGTAGGCTGCAAGGCAGCTTGTGTCCAGGACTGTCAGAGAGGACAGTGTGTATGGATGGCAGGACAGTGAAGAAGAGGTGCCGACGTGGTGAAGAGGCCCTCCTGTGAGAGTGTGAGACTCCTGTCTTCCTGCCCAGTTGAAGGAGAGTTGGAGGTCGTGGAAGAAGAGGCTGACGATCTCCAGACTCATCATCCATATTCCATATCCATGTATTACTTGTGATTGTGTGTGTGTGTTCATGTAATTTGCGTCAGTAAATCCACACATTTTATTACTGTGTTTGAGTGTGCCTCCATTTGTGATATTTCTCTATGAGCATACATTTCTGGCTACAAACGATATATGATACACCCACTGAACTGCATTGCTGGGGTGCAGATATAATAACCCAGCTGGCGACCTTGCTAAGAGGAAGATAGAGAAGACAGGCGGGAAAGGAGTTCCTGCAACCTTTTTTTTGTCTGGCAGGCAAGACTCAGGGAGGTTATGGTTATAGGTAAGCCTGAGTCTTCCTTCACTCCCCCACGGGTCTAGGCCGGAACTGTTAACAGCAGTTTCCCCGTGGTTGACTGAAGGGCTTCCAGGGTGAATCAGTGGCACCCCTTTGTGGTGGAAGCAAAGACCTGCAGAGGTGGGCATTGTTGGTCCTATCTTGTGTGACCAAGGAGACTCCGGTGAATCCAGGGAGTCGGAGGGGCTGAGTATTTGGGCCTTTTGAGCCCCTAGCAGCCGAGTGTTAGCAGAGCCCCGGACCGCCCACCCCCACGTGACAAGAGAACTGGCGACCTCGCCAGGATTCGAACCCCAGTAGCCAAGAACTGGGAACTTCGCCAGGAAGCGTGGATCAAGCTACAGTGTGGACCAAATTGCAAGACAAGTGTTGCCAGGGTACTAATACAGTGTGGCCAGTGAATTCGGTGGTACTGTTACTCAACCAGCTAAGGGACTGAAACGGTGAAATTAGTGCCTACTAACTTGTCTGTGCTGTCGTGTATGCTCAATGATATAGAGATGGAGGAAGACAAAGTAAAGAAATTTATTGACACAAGGGACGAGAGAATTTTGGAAGAGTGCACCAAGGCCCAGCTCCAACAAGTGGCAAACCACTTTGGGATCAGGTTGAGGACGACCAAGGTAGCGGAGCGAAGGATAGAGATCATGGCACAGCTCACAGCTCGAGAGGGAGCGACGGGAGAGGAGCCATCTCAAGAGGAGCCGTCCCGAGGAGAGCCGTCGCAAGGTGAACCGTCCCGACTAGGGCCACCCCAAGCGCCTACCAGTGTGGAGAGAATTCACAGTGAACATGGGAGCAGTGGAAGGTCCAGCTGTAGTAAGAGGAGCCTGCAACTGGAAATAATGAAGATGCAACTGGAAGCCCAGCTGCGACGAGAGGAAAGAGAAGCGCAAATGCAGCGAGAGGAACGTGCAGCTGAGCTGCAGCGAGAGGAACGTGCAGCTGAGCTGCAGCGAGGTGAGCGAGAAGCACGGCTGCAGCTGCAGCGAGAGGAGCGAGAAGCTCGGCTGCAGCGAGAAGAAGGAGAGAGACAACTGCGACTGGAGGAGATAAAGGCAAAGAAAGAAGTCGAATTGCGTCGCGTTGAACGTGGTCTGCCCTCACTACCTGCACGGCGGGATGACCTCAAGGTAAGGGAACGTGACTTACCTACGTTCGAACCACAAGAAGCTGAGGCGTTCTTCGAACACTTTGAACGGATAGCGACTCTGAAGGAGTGGCCGGAAGATGATTGGGCTGCTCTGGTCCAGGGCAGGTTGACTGGAGAGGCCCGGGAAGCCTATAACATGCTGGACCTAGAGGAGTGTACTAGTTATGACGCGATTAAGAATGCGGTTCTCCACTCATTCCGGCTGACTCCGGAGATGTACCGGAAGCGGTTCAGAGAGTGTACAAGAGCGTCGGGAAAGACTTACGCCGAGACCGCCAGGGATATGGAACGGAAATTCCTACGATGGTTGAAGGCGGAGGAAGCGGAGTCGGTGGATGATATCAAACGACTGATAGTGATGGAGAAGTTTATGTCAGTGCTCCATCCTGAGTTGCGAGTAAGGGTGAGAGAAGCAGGTATTAAGGACCTGAAGGCTGCAGCGGATCGAGCCGACATGCTGGAGGAGGCACTACATATCAGGAGGGAGGGGCCGGCCAGACACTCGCCTTACCCCAGGTCGGGAGGGAACTTTAGGAGTTCAGGAGGAGCGAGGACGAGTGGGGACTCTCCCAAGAGTAGTGTGCCCGATGAAGTAACGTGGTTCAAGAGCTCAAGAGACGCGGGGAGGAAGCCCCAAGCTGTGAGCAGTGGACCTAACTCGGGAACAAGTGCTGCAGTCCCGGATACGACGACAGGGAGTCCAAGGAGGACCCAGGGGACGTCTGCAAGTGGTACCGCCAGAGTGACTGGCGAGTGGTCACCCAGGAGAGGCAGCCGATGCTACAACTGTGGCGTGAGAGGACATTATGCCCGCGAGTGTGAGGAGCACCAAAGGAATGTAGGATTAATGTTGGAAGAGGAGAGAGTGTTTGTTCACACCCCATATTATAGTGGACCTAACGTGAATGGTTGGGAAATGAAGTTGGGTGAACATCCCTTCGTTTTCGGGGCCAACGTGAAGTTTGGAAGGTCAGACCCAGTGGAGGTTGCCGTGCTTCGAGATACGGGTGCTGACATAAGTATGGTGACCAGGAGTATTCTCCCCAAGGAATTTAATGATTCACCTGTGGGAGTGGTGAGGATACGCAGTGTGGGGGAGGAATACAGGTTGCCACTTCACGAAGTACAGCTGATTGCCGACTACGGAGTCGAGAGAGCTATAGTAGCTGTAGCCCCTAAGTTACCCCTAGAGCATGTACAGATGGTGCTGGGTAATGACCTCGGAGGAGGCAGGATACAACCCGATTGGGCCAAGAGTGCCTATGTTGCAAGCAGCGGTACAACCCTGCCAGGTGAGGTATCGGTCGTTCCAGATGGTGGTGAGGAAGCCGACTTCGCCAGGGAAAACGTCGCCAGAGACGACGACAACGAGGGCGAGAGTGCAGAGAGGTCGTCGGAGGTTGTGGAAAACCCCGACGGGGACCTCCGACTAAGCCTGATGATGCGTGTGGAGGAGTGGCGAGGAGCAGCTGTGCAAACGCCTGGGGCGGTGAAGAGGCTGCAGACCGCACTCCCTCCATACAGAAACGTGAATAAAGTAAGCTCAGTGGATGAGCGAACGGCAGTGAGGGGCAGAGTGGAGGAGCCACGACGCAAGGCACCCTATGCCGGCCAGATGAATAGTGGTAGGTGCAAGGCGAACCACCGTAGTGAGGTGAGCCACAGGGAGGTGGAAGAGCCCAACCACGAACCGAAGAAGACGTCTGCAGGGAAGAAAATCTCATGGAGGAGTGAAGATGTTCGTCGGGAACGAAGGAGCGAGTGGTATAGGAAAGGCAATACGAAGAAAGCAGGGAATAGGTACACCCAGGGTAGGCGCCAGCCTAACCAGAGGGGCATTGGGCCATCGCAAAAGCCTAGTGTGGAAGAGAGGGAGCTGCTGGATGGAGTACAGGTTACAAGTGCCACTGTGAGGAGACAACGCACCTACGGGAGAAGAGGAACCGAGAAGAGAGAAGATTGGCGAAGAGGAGATCATGAGAGGAAACATGGAGTACCTGTAGGACGCAGTGGAAATGCAAGACGATCCCGGAGTGCACGACGCGGTGGAGGCGCTGCATGCACTGAATCTTACAGTGGTAACGAGCCGTGGGAGTACACTCGTAGCCACGGAGAGAGGATTTCTTGTAGGTGTTCAGGGAACACCCATCACACCCGGTCCTATGCGAGGTGGAGATACAATGAGGCAAGTGACTGGCAAAGTGGTATGAGCCACGTCACCAACTGGAGGAGTGACACTTCAGGAACGGAGGGAGCAAGAGTATAGGTTGCCCTCTTGAGTGCTGCTCTTCCGATATGACTCTTATTTTAAGGGGAGGGGTATGTTACGGTGCCCTCTCCTATTTCTTTCGTTTGCCGGCTTAAAGAGTCATATCAGCTCTCCCTACTGATTCTCTGAGGTTCAGGGAGTCTAATGATATATTTGGCGACCAGACCGGCTGCCATTTAATGGAAGGAGGTTATATTATAAGTTGTAAATAAAGGAAAGTTGGCGCCCTGATATAAAATGAAACAGTATCCCCTACGGCAGATATGACCTTGTGGAAGGGACACTATGCCAATCGCGGATTGGCCGACGTAGGTCGCGGGCGACAAATCAGGGCCCGCCATGACGTCACCGAGTGCCCCGGGCGGCGCCAACGTCAGAGTTGTACTGACCGTGGAAGCGACAGGACGCGCCTCGGTCTGCTCTCAAGAATTGGAGGCTCTGCAAGCCTTGTCCAGTGGATTGAGCTGACCATCGCCGCCAACATAGTTATTGGAGACCCTGCGCTTCTGGGAAGCCAAAGAGGAACCAAGTTCAGTGAGCAGAGAAGTGCCCAAACTTGGAAAATAGTCGGCGACGACGCTGGGCGGCGCCGCTGGCTGGACGTTGAGGTCTGGAAGGTGGGCGAGCAAGCTAGCTGTGACTGGGGTCACATCCACTGAGAATCTTGGAAGGACGACACAGTGCCTAGGACAAGGAGCGACGCCCTGTGGGAGAGGCGAGTGTGGGGAAAAAATAGTGATTAGCTCAGCGCCCATCGATGAACCAGGATTGGGGCAGCTGAATCTCAGGGATTGGAACGGCGACGACGCGAAGGCTTCACGACTCCTGAGGACCTGTGGAACGCCCTGGATCGTCGAGGATCGACCCAAGGAAGCGTGGGAACCTCACACCATCGAGGGACAGGCGTCGTGAGCCAGGAGTGTAAGGTAGATCATTTTCCCTCCCATTACCCCTTGTATGAGTAGGCTAGTTAGGCCACAATATTTACTTGTGTATGTGGCAGCAAGACTTTATTACTTTAATAGTAGAGTAGGCTGCAAGGCAGCTTGTGTCCAGGACTGTCAGAGAGGACAGTGTGTATGGATGGCAGGACAGTGAAGAAGAGGTGCCGACGTGGTGAAGAGGCCCTCCTGTGAGAGTGTGAGACTCCTGTCTTCCTGCCCAGTTGAAGGAGAGTTGGAGGTCGTGGAAGAAGAGGCTGACGATCTCCAGACTCATCATCCATATTCCATATCCATGTATTACTTGTGATTGTGTGTGTGTGTTCATGTAATTTGCGTCAGTAAATCCACACATTTTATTACTGTGTTTGAGTGTGCCTCCATTTGTGATATTTCTCTATGAGCATACATTTCTGGCTACAAACGATATATGATACACCCACTGAACTGCATTGCTGGGGTGCAGATATAATAACCCAGCTGGCGACCTTGCTAAGAGGAAGATAGAGAAGACAGGCGGGAAAGGAGTTCCTGCAACCTTTTTTTTGTCTGGCAGGCAAGACTCAGGGAGGTTATGGTTATAGGTAAGCCTGAGTCTTCCTTCACTCCCCCACGGGTCTAGGCCGGAACTGTTAACAGCAGTTTCCCCGTGGTTGACTGAAGGGCTTCCAGGGTGAATCAGTGGCACCCCTTTGTGGTGGAAGCAAAGACCTGCGGAGGTGGGCATTGTTGGTCCTATCTTGTGTGACCAAGGAGACTCCGGTGAATCCAGGGAGTCGGAGGGGCTGAGTATTTGGGCCTTTTGAGCCCCTAGCAGCCGAGTGTTAGCAGAGCCCCGGACCGCCCACCCCCACGTGACACTGGCTCAGCCTGAATCCTATCGGGGGAGGATTCCTAAGCTGGCCCAGCTTTGGTGTTAGGTGCTGCTTGCTCGGTGTCTGAACTGTGTCTTTCCATGGCTCCGCCTCTTTCAGCAGGTTGGGCCAGAAAGGTACCTTGCTGGTTCAGTTTACTCCTCCACCTTTGGTCCCAGATTGTTTTCAGAAGACTTTGTTTCTGTTGGCTTTGGCCCCTGGGAGTCGGGTTTGTGAGCTTCATGCACTACTCCGACTCGGGTTACTGCTCTTCCAGTTCTGGTGGACGTTTTGTTCGTTTGCAGCTGTCTCCTTCTTTTCTGGCAAAGAATGAGTGTGGAATGGCAGGCTTCCAGAGAGGTCAGTGGGTTATTGATACTTGGCTGGTCAGGCCTGGGGTGCATCATGTTTTGTGTCCGGTTGCAGCTCTTAGCCGTTACCAGCGTTACCTCGGGTTCTGTGTCCAGGAAGCGCTTTGGGTTGATCCGATTTCCCTCATTCCCTACTCCAAGGCTCGGGTCTCTCAGGTCGTCAGCAGGGTTATCAAGTCAAGCCAGCCTGTGGTGTACCCTCTTGCCAATGATGTTTGGAAGTTTGCGGCTCTTGCTGCTGTCTTTGGGAACATGTCTTGGGTTGACATTTGGGCACTGGGGTTTTGGAGGTCGAACAGGATCCTGGTCGCCCATTATCTTGTGACCATTCCTTGAGGCCCCCATCAGTGGCCTTGTGTGGCCTTGAGCCGTCAGTTGCAGCCAGTTGTCCCGTCTTCGTCATGAGGCACTGCCGCCTCCCGGGTAAGTCCCTCTTATACTTATCTTTGGGTATCTAGCTCCAAGGAGCCGATTTCGTCCCCCCACAGAAAACCAGCGTTAAATGTAATGAAACTGCATTTTCTGGGTGAGCCCCGGAGGCTCCCTGGCACCCTCCCTCCAGTCGCCGGTTTTTGTTTTTTGTTCTCAGTCTCCAAACTGGTGGGCGAGCAGCCGACTTGGGTGAACGGCCCCCCCATCTCTTTCCCCTCAACGGAGGGTGGGGTGGGGTGGTGGTAAACGAGTGGCACATCGGTTTGATAACGTTTTGCTTGTTGCATTGTTTTTCTTGGGCTCAGTTTGGTCTTGGGTTGCAATTTTCTACCAGTTGGGGTTTGTTTTAGGATGCCTACTCTTCTGGGTGCCTAACCCTGGTCGATGACAGACATGAATATACTCTCAGAGTGGAGTTCTCATAGGCCATTGCACCCTGCACCTCTCTGAGGAAGGCAGGTTCTGGCTCGTGGTTCCCAGTAGGTAGAACTTCATGTGACTGAAGCCCCAGACTAATAATGCATATATCAGTCCGATAGGTCCAAGGAGCCTCCGAGGCTCACCCAGAAAATGGTGTTTCATTACATTCAATGCTGGTTTTTCTGGGGTTGCCTGGGGTCTGATGGGTTGACCCCAAGCAACCCTTAAAGAAATCCCTTATAGAACGAATTGGCCTAACTCTATATAGTTTATCATATGGTAATGTGAATCTGAAAATAATGTCACTCACTTGTTCCATTTTGTATGCTTGTAGTTTTGCAGACAGTGTGGTGCGTGCACGTGCAGTGGAATGGATTAGAGGTCTTGGGTCAGATGAACTGATAACATTTTTGCCCCAGCTAGTGCAAGCAGTAAAACATGAAGCTTGGGATATATCACCCACAGCAGAGTTGCTATTGGAGCGTGCATTGACCTCACCCAGGCTCGCACATCACTTGTATTGGCTACTTAATCAGTGCCTTCCTCTACAGGTATTTAAATTATTGATTTCTAATGTGAATTTGAAATAATGCACTCTTAATGCAATTATATAAGTTAAAATTATATTTACACAAGTTTAATTTAAGAAAGAATATGCATAGTAATAATTATGTGATGAATTACTTATTATACAGTACTATTAACAAGCAGAATTTACTGTGATAAGTTCTATTGTAGTGGAAGCCACTTCTATCCACGAATTCGAGAGCAAATACAGCAGAAGTTGAATAACAAGTAATTTACACAGGCTTGTACTCATTATTCCCCTGTACTTGTTACACCTTCTGTACTCGTTACACCTTCTGTACTCGTTACACCTTCTGTACTCGTTACACCTTCTGTACTCGTTACACCTTCTGTACTCGTTACACCTTCTGTACTCGTTACACCTTCTGTACTCGTCACACCTTATGTACTTGTTAAACCTTATGTACTCGTTAAACCTTTTGTACTCGTTAAACCTTCTGTACTAGTTACACCTTCTGTACTCATTATACCCCTTGTTCTCATTAACCCTCAAACCGCGCATATCATATAAATGATATCAGTGACAAAACCGAAACCGCGCACATCATTTATATATGATTTCGTGTCTAGCGCTATAATTTAAACTCCCCGCCTGGGATAGGGGCAGCTATAGTACAGCCACGACCGATAGTTGCCAGATGCCACCTAGAAAAAAAATCCAGGCCAACATTCTTGGGTGTTACAGCGTCAGTATTGAGCAAGCCACCAAGGCTGGCGGACGCAGCACGAGCTCACAGCACCGCTGTTCAGCTTGTGACCACAGCATCGCCTACAAATACCATAATATAAATGATACTGCTATTATTTAGCAGTGATAGTATTACTGAAGCCCCCTGACTGTGATAAAACTGACCAGGATTCTGATAATAGCAGGATTGTGGTGATATTTAGCGCTGTGCTCCATGGAGGGAGGAGTAATGCTGTGGGAGGGAGGGTTGTGGCGTCGTTTTCTGACTGTGTGTGGTGACCATTTATTGACTGCACTCACCATACCAGCTTAGTGGTTCGCTATGGTGAACACAAATGTAGATACTTATATATAACGTGTGTATAGTGTGAGATAACAGCGAGAGGAGTAGGTTGGGAGCCGCCATTTTGGTGAGGGAGGAGCGTCGTCTGCACGACTTGGCATGTTGTTTACTGATGGCCACTATGGTCTTTGGGCACCATACCAGCTTATTTGTTCAGGTATGGTGAATAAAACAGGTAGATACTTATATATAATGTGTGTATATAGCGTAATAACACCACAAACAATATTGTTGGAGGACAAATATTAGTGCGTCTGGCCTTGAGGGCGGCCGCCGATCAGCTGACTGTGTGAGTAGCTACGTCTTATTGCCTTTACTCACCATACAAGCTTAGATGTACAGTTATGGTGAACAAAACATGTAAATACGTACATATAACGTCTGTGTATAGTGAATAAATACAGAAAGAGTATTGTGGGAGGTAAATGAGGGTGAGTGAGGTGGTGTTGAGGGAGGGAGTGGCAGTGAGTGGCTCGCTGGTGTTTGGCGGTCACTCCTCGTTGCTTTTTGACTCACAAGACCAACTTAGTAGTTCGTTATGGTGTACAAAACATGCAGATACTTATATATAACCTGTGTATATAGTGTAACAGCAGCAAAACTATTTGTTTATTGTTTTATGAACATAATAATTGAATCACTAATATGCCCACCATAATTTTGAGTACAGCGATGGTTGACACATTTTATAATATAAATATACCACAATTCACTGTATGGAATAATATTACTGCAAAAAAACTAAGAAAAAATCAATCAGAGACATTGAAATAATTAGGTAATAATATATTTGTGACAACTGCCGTCTGACAGCTCGGGCGGAGTAGACCTCGTCTGGCGAAGGCTCTGCCAACGCCCCTTTTTTGCCACACTTCCCTACCCTATTGCGGCTAAAATATGCCACCTACGATTTTTTTGTTATTTTTTCCGTGATCAGGGAACAAAAATGAACACTTCTACAAGACGAAAGAATTTTTTGGATTTTTTTTTTTTTTTTGCGCCTGTGGGTGTGAATTCCATTTGGGCCCCTAGCGGTTTGAGGGTTAAACCCTCTGTTGTCATTACACCCCATTCTCATTACACCCTGTTGTCATTACATCCCCCTCTCAACAACAACCCCTGTACTCGTTACACCCCTGTACTCATAATACTCACTATTCTGATTACACCTCTTGTTTTCATTACACCCCATGTTCTCACTGCACCCCTTTTCTCATTACACCCTCGTATATTTTATATATGTGTATATTGTATATTTTGTTAAAAATATTTAGCTACAAATTATTCTAATAGCATGCAGAAACAGCTTTTGGTTGTACCCCATGTCAATTTTTAAGAACTTTTATATTTTATATTTAACCTCAGGTGAAGATTCTCAGTGACTGCTTCATTAGCCAGGCTACTGATGTATGCAGTATCATACCCATCACAACTCAGCTGTTTAAGCATATCCTGTAGGAACTGGTTTACTTTTTGCTATATTGTATTGCAGTGACACCTTGGCTCACGAATGCCCCTCTTTATGAACTTTTTGGGTTACGAGCCCAATTTCTTCATAAAATCCAAATCGGGTTACGAACTTGGTCTCGGGTAACGTAGTTTGTTGATATACGTATGGCCGACCTAGCTCATGATGGCACAGCGATCGCGCCTTAGTTTACCAATGTCGCCTGCCTAGTGACAGTCACGCTTAAATTCTTTGTAAAGAATTAGTGTTTTTCAGATTTTTGGGTATTTAAACATAAATCCAGTGTTGAATGTAATGAAACACCATTTTCTGGGTGAGTCCCAGAGGCTACCTGGAGCTATCCAGGCTGATATGGATATGTATAACTTTCTGGCATCAGTCAATGTGCATGGAGTTCTTGTCTAGCAGGAACCACAGCCAGAACCTGGCCCCCCTCAGAGTGGCACAAGGAGCAAGGCACGAGGAGCAATAGCCTGTAGATGGCCTGAGCAATGGCCAGATGTGGTTGAGAGCATTCTATGTCTGCCTTCGACCTGGTCTGGCACTCAGAAAAGTAGGCGCCCCAAAACAAACCCCTATTCCGGTGAAAAAATGCAACCGAAAACCGAACGAGTGCACAAAACTCCTTAAACAAAAAATTAGCAAACGAGCACGACATCATCACATTGCCACGTCACTGTCTGCGCAACCCCCCCTCTTTCCCCGGGAGGGGAAAGCCCCAGATCCTTGCCCAAGTGATCCACCTTTCAGTTCTTAGGCTGGATGTCAATACTAGTACTCACGAAAAAGTACCGCCGATCGGAGGGAGGGAGGGAGGGATGCTGGGGAGCCTCCGGGTCTCACCCAGCAAATGGCATTTCATTACATTCAACGCTGGATTTCTGGGGGGGAGCCTTGTTGGCTCCCTGGAGCAACCTCACTAAAGATAAGAAAAAGAGGGAAGGACCCGGGAGGCAGATGCCATGCACCCTAACACAAAAACAAGACAACCGGCAAAATTAAAGGACCCTGGGGAGACCCGGGGAGACCCAAACCCTGTAACAGGGAGGGAAGGGTACCCAGCCAACCCAAAGTGCGGCCACGGCCAGTGAGGCCAAGACACGTAGACAACGTCAAAGAGCTGCAACCAAACAACACATGATGCACCCTCGGTCTGACCAACCAAGTAACAACCCAAGGACCACTCCGGAAAGCAGCAGACTCATTCTTCGCCAGATAAGGAGGAGACGGCAGCAACCGAACAAACCTACTTCCAGGACCAAAAGAGCAGAAACCCTTGTGCCGGAGGAGAGCAGGAAGCTCCCTGACCCAACCCCCAGAGTTCAATGCCAACAGGAAAAGAGCCGTAGAAAAACAATCCTGAACCGAAGGGGCCACAACAAACCGAGAAGAGAGAAAAGAGAGCACTTGGTCGAATGACCAGGATGGCTCAGACGGTGCATGAGCAGGCTGGAGGTGAAACAATGTATAAGACAGCTTACGAAACGGAGCAGATATTACATCAATACCAAATGCAAGCTGGAGTGGCTCCGCCAGCGCTGCATGATACAAGGCGACAGTATTCGGCATAAGACGACGGTCCTGACACAACTATGAAAGGAAGGACAAAACCGAAATACACTTACGCAGTGATAGGAAAAACCGGAAGGACTGCCAGGAAACGTCATATTGCCGCCGAGACGAAGCACGCAGGTGGAAGACCAACAAGGAAGCCACCTGTACCCCATACAAGTGGTGATAGACTCGAGTTGGAAACTCCAGAGGTAATGACTCAAGGAGAAGAATGAACCAGACGGCTCGAGGAGAAGAATGAAGCAGTCTCGTAACGGGCTGGACCAATCTGCTGAAAGAGGCAGAGCTGCAGGAAGACCCTCAGGTTTGGACACCGAGCAAGCAGCGCCTGAAACCAAGGCCGGGCCGTCCACCAAGGAGCCAGAAGGACAACTCTCCCCTAGTAAGTCTCTGCTGAAAGAAAGAGACTATGGACTATGAGCAACAGCTGAACTGGGAAAAGAGGTACAGGTAACCCCACCTCGCACAGGCCTGCCTGAAGGCATCGACCCCGATGGCCTCGCAGTTGGGGAACGGCACCACGTATACCGGAAGACGCCTCGACCACGCCGACACGAAGAGGTCTACCTCTGGAGGCCCGAACGTCTGGCAAAGCCAACTGAACGAGTCGGTGTTGACCGTCCACTCCGTGGAAAGGGGAATAAAGCGGGATAGGCCGTCCGCCAGGACATTCGACACTCACCGAACATGAACTGCCAGGAGAGCCAAACCCCGAGAACTCAACAGACGAGTCACCCGAAATGACCAGCCCCAAAGCCAAGGACCGCATCGAACCCCCGCGGTTCAGGCAAGGAACCACCGGGGAACGGTCCGAATGGAGCCAGATTGTCGATCTGCGAGCGACTCGAGTCTCCGGGGCAACATCCATACAACCGGGAACTCCCGCACTGTGCTGTGTGTCTGATGGAAGGATGGACCCTACCGCCTTTGGCTGGCGTGATGAGTACTGGTCACAAAGCCCCAGCCAAGAGACGACGCATCCGTGAACACATTGAGCGAGGGATCAGGTAGGTGCCAAGGCATTGAACCCCGAAAAACCCGAAAAGGAAGCCGGCGACGCAGCAACCGACAAAGCCCCTGGATGCAAGACCTAGCATTCACGAGATAGGTAGAAGGGACGTCCATGAAGGAACCAGAACAACCAACGAAGCCACACCCATCCTGGCAGGTAGACCATCATGGCAAAGTTTAGGTTCCCGCACAAACCCTCGAGCAACTGCCGCATGACCCGGGAGCCCCTCGGGAACAGATGAAGGCAGGAACGCTGGAGAAGCAGAGCTGCAGGAGGAAGGGACAGGGAAGCGGTCCAAGCATCCTACACAAGACCCAGCCAAGACCAAACCTGAGAGGGAACCAGATCGGACTTACACCAGTACACCAAGAACCTGATCCTGGTGAGCTGGGAAAGAACCAAATCCCTGGGGAGCAGACATGTGGACTGGCTGGGAGCCCAAGCTAGCTAGTCGTCGAGGTAGGCCAGAACCTGAACACCTAACAGAAGCAGGCGGGCCACCACGACCTGAGTAAGGTGTGTCAAAATGCGAGGTGCCAGATTCAAGCCGAATGAAAAGCAACAAAAGCGGTAACCTTGACACCCCAAAACAAAACCGAGCCAGTCCCTGAACCTCGGATGAATTGAGACATGCCAATACATGTCCTAGAGGTCTTGGACACCATCCAAGCATCCGGCTCTAACAGAAGACGGACCTGGGACAGAGTAGTCATCTGAAAGGAGGGGAGTAAAAAAACCCACGGGTTCAGACGGGACAAGTCCAGGATGAACTGGAGTCCCGTACAGTCCTGCTTCGGGACCGGAAACAAGCGAGAGACCCACCTGAGGGATGAGGACATTTCGACCACCCCCAAGCGAACCCACTCCAAGATGACCTGACAGCGCAGGAGAGGAGGCCTGCCCTGTCAGGCCTCCTCTCCTGCGGCCGAGGAGGAGGAGGCTGCAGGAGTTTCTCTCCTGCGGCCAAAGCGACTCCCACCCACATGTCCGGGTCCATATAACCAAAACGAGGCAGTCTCGGGACATAAGGGGCAATCTCGTGGCATCTGGGGAAGCAACCAACCTATCACGTTTCACCAACCTGAACCTAGCATGCAATGCAGCTGTTGCCTGCACCCTCATATCATGATCAGTAGCTTGGGTGAATTGGAGTATATAAGCACGACTCCGGGTCAAAAGAATCACTGACCCTACAGGCAGCATGGCGGAGGCACAACCGGTGATTTCCCCCGAGACAAGGGGACAGAGCAACCAACAACCTCGCACGAAATATGAGGGGACTCAAGAGTCGCATCCATCGGACGATGGAGCCCCTGGGGGTTTCCCAGGGCCCTTAGCCTTGGTAACACGCTAAGGAAAGCCCAGGCAGGGTACTGCGAACTGGCGCCCAAGACTACCAAGCAAACTTCTAAAAACTGAACCCCCTGGGATGTGCCCACTCACAGGGGCCTAGCAGGGGGTACCACCAAGAACACAAATATGTATATATACATAAAAATATGTATATATACATATATATGTATATATGCCAACGGCCATACCACGTTGAGAACACCGCTTCTCGTCCGATCAGCGAAGTTAAGCAACGTTGGGTTTGGTTAGTACTTGGATGGGTGACCGCCTGGGAACACTAAATGCTATTGGCAATAATGTTTTGGAGCCGGTCGGCCGAGCGGACAGCACGCTGGACTTGTGACCCTGTGGTCCTGGGTTCGATCCCAGGCGCCGGCGAGAAACAATGGGCAGTTTCTTTCACCCTATGCCCCTGTTACCTAGCAGTAAATAGGTACCCGGGAGTTAGTCAGCTGTCACGGGCTGCTTCCTGGGGGTGGAGGCCTGGTCGAGGACCGGGCCGCGGGGACACTAAAAATCTCCGAAATCATCTCAAGATAACCTCAAGATAACCCTAAATATAAATAGGAGTTAACCAACCAAAGGCAAACCCTCAACCAGGCAGAGAAAAGAAAAACAAAAGAAAACCCCCGCAAGAGGACAACGTACTCAAGCGGAACAGAGCCGGCTGCTATAATAGGTGATAACTAGCTGTGCAGTACCCTGCGCCCCTACCAGTGATGAAAATTACCTCCTGCCCAGAGGCAAACAAGGGCAACAAAAAGATTTGGCTTGCCCGACTCTAAAGGCAGCCAGGTACCGAGCAGTAAAAGACACAGCAGGGATAGATCTCAAAGTGACTTGTGGAAGATGGCTCCAAGCCCCAAGGGCAGTACTTACAGGGCACCTAGGGAAGGTGACCCTAGGCCCATGCAGCCCAAGTACAGAAGATTATTACTCCTGGCTCACACACCACCAGTAGAGACAGTCCCTGCCACAAGGCACAGAAACTGAGACAATTGCAGGAGCCAGAGGCACAAGACCTCGCCAGTATCATCATCAGACAAGAACTGAAGGGGTGATTCGCTTGTGCGAGGGTCTGAGGCTCCCCCTATCCCCTCCTGGGGAGGAAAGGGGGTTGCGCAGACAACGTAATGACGTCATGCTTTTTTGCTAATTTTAGTTTGGGGAATTCTGTCCACTCGTTCGGCTTTCGGTAGTAATTTTTCATCGGAATAGGGGTTTGTTTTGGGGCACCTACCTCTCTGGGTGCCAGACCCGGTCAATGGCAAATATAGAATGCTCCCTACCACACAGGGGTTTCTATAGGCCATTGCTCCTCGTGCCTCTCTTGGGGGGGGGGGGGGGCTAGGTTCTAGCTGTGGTAGGCTTGCGGTATACATATCCATATCACCCTGAATAGCTCCGTGGAGCCGACAGGGCTCCCCCCAAAAAGTTGTTATTATATATCTTGCCATGGGTCTCAAGAAAGCCAGTGCTATGGTTCACTCCAAGAAAACACATACGAGGATGACCATAGAGAAAAAAAACAAGAGACCATTCGTAAACATGAAAATGGTACACGGGTTGTTGAAATTGCTAGGCAGTATAACAAATCTTTGTCAACGATATGCACTGTAATTGCTAAGAAAAAGGACAGTATGAGTGCTAAAGTGGCAAAAGATGTATCAACAATCATGAAACAAAGAACACAAACACTTGAGGATGTTGAAAAGTTATTAATTTGGATACACGACAAGGAGTTAGGTGGTGATAGTGTTTCAGAGGCCATCATTTGTGAAAAAGCAAGGCAATTGCATGAATATCTTTTAAAGAAAACCCCCTGGAACGAGTGATGCAGATACGAAAGAGTTTAAGGTGAGCCAGGGATAGTTAGAGAAATTTAGAAAAATAAGTGGCATTTATAATGTTGTGAGAGTTGAGTGTTGTGAGTTGGTGGAGGAACACAGTGAAGAATTGACCACCGAAGAACTCCTAGCCCTACACAATGAGCAGCAACAAGAGACAGCTGAGGAAATGTCTTCAGGGCAGGAGGAGGCAGTACAGTCCCTTGTCCCTTCCCCAACAATTAAGAAGTGGTGTAGTCTATGAGAAGAAATGCAAACTTTTGTTGAAAGGACTCACCTTGAGCAAGCTGTAGTAGGTCATTGCCTTAACCTTTTTAATGACACTGTGATGCCTCACTACAGACAAGTGTTACAACGTAGGGAAAAAGCAAGCCTCTATTGATAGATTTTTAGTGAGAAAAAGAAGCAGTGAGCCACAACCAGGTCCTAGTGGTGTGCAGGCAAAACATACCAGAGAGAGTACCCCAGAAAAGTCATCACTGCCTGATGTTATAATGGAAGGGGACTTCCTTACAAACACTAACACCTCTCCTCCTCCCCCCTCTCCTCACCATTTTCTGTATGCTAACAAGAATCATCAATAAAGGTAAGCAATAACTTGTACATATTTTAGTACAAAAGATTTTGGTGAATTAGGTATAAAATTTACTTTGAAGTTAATATTTTTGGGAGTGTGGAACAGATTAATTCAATTTACATTATTTCTTATGGGAACATTCGCTGCGGTTTACGAATTTTCGGGTTACGAACCGTCTTTGGGAATGGATTAAATTCGTAAACGGAGGGACCACTACTGAAATTCTTAATATTGTTTTCAGTGTGAGCATTTGTTTCATGTATTTGTAAATGGAATGATGTTGATTGATAATACATTAAAGAATGGATAAATTGTATTTTATTATCTTTTACAGACCAACATGGGTGGTGAACGTGAAGTAGTCAGTGATGCTCGATACCGTCGGCGTCTCAACCTGGTAACTCGAGCCCTAATGGCTATATGTGGCAAAAATATGGAAAATAGACTTCTTACTCAGGAAGCTGTACTTAGGGTTAGTAAATTTTGGTTTCTCTTACTTTTTCTGTTCCTAATTACTATAGTGTATTGTATACTTCATATTTTGTGCTAATGTTTGTAGTCAACTTAAATGTTGTTTAGATTTTGTTCTAATCTAATTGTTATCTTATGAACATAATTCAATATATAAAAAATAACAACAACCTGGTGAATCCTTCCTGAGTATCTAGGTCAACAGGCAGGGGTACATGACCCTAGCTTTTTGGCCTGCACCACCAAATGGGTCTCTCTCACAGGATGTTTAGAGAAGGAAATTTCATCTAGGGTAGACGGAGCAGCAGAAGAGATGAAAATCATAGAGAAAATAGTAGGTTTAGGAGAAGGCTCAAAGGAAAATGTCAGTGATTTTAGAAGAATAGGAAAATATGAGAAAGACAAGAACCGCCCCTTAAGGGTGACGTTTAATGGAGTGAAAAACATGATGGAAGTGCTTAGAAATGCCAGGAAATTGCAGGGTGATGAGGTTGGCAAACTTTGGTCAATAAGACAAGACCTCTCCAAGGAAGACAGAGAAAAGCTGAAAATGAACCTAATTGAAGCAAAACGTCTAAATGGAGATAGAAATGAAGAAGACAGAAATTCTTTTTTCTACAAAGTGACAGGGACTGGAAAGCTTGTGAAATGGTACATAAAAACAAAGCAACAAGATCAGTAGTGGAAGGGGGAGTAAAGAGCAAAGGAAAAGGGAACATGTTTCTGAAAATTGTATATACCAACATAGAGGGAGTGAGGTCAAAAACTTTGGAGTTGCAAGATATAATCCAGCTTAGGGTCCCAGATATTGTCGCATTATCAGAGACGAAACTTGAAGGAAATATAATAAATGAAGTCATATTCCCAAGAGGCTATTCAGTTTGGAGACGTGACAGGAAAACTAGGAAGGGAGGAGTGGCTGTACTGGTGAAAAAACACCTGAAGGTAAGAGAGTTAATATTTGAAAACCCTCGAGATATTGATATAATGGCATTGCAGATCTGGAATCAGGATGATAAGCTGATAATTTTAAATGCCTACAGTCCACCAGCAAGCAACACATGGACAAAGGAAGAACTAGATGACAAACGAGAGGGCCTCATAATGGTCATGAGAGATATTATTGTACAAGCAGATAAGGATAAATCACGACTGTTGATACTGGGGGACTTCAACTTTAAAGCAATAGACTGGGAGGCCTATGAAGCAAGAACGTTGGACTTTTGGACATGCAGATTTGTGAACCTCATTCTGGAGACATTCTTGTATCAACACATAAAGCAGGCCACAAGAATGAGGGAAGGAGATGTACCGTCAGTACTGGATCTAGTATTCACCAGGAAAGAAGAAGAGATATTTGACATCCAGTACCTTCCTCCCTTGGGAAAGAGTGATCATGTCCTGTTAGACATTGATTATGCTTTAAGATATTATCTAGAAGAAAATGGGGACATTGAAACAGTTGATAAACTCGATTTAAGGAGAGGTCACTATGGGGAACTTCGAAATTTTGTTAATGAGTGTAATTGGACACAATTGTTGCTAGGCAGGGAAGTAAATGAAATGTATGGCAAATTTTTTAAAAATATAAAAATATATAAAAATAGCTGAAATGTTCACAGTTTGAGATGCGAGGGGAGGCGACATTGGTCACAACAGTGGAGCGAAAACAATGGGCCCACAGCGTGTGCCAAGCCACCTGAGGGCCACGAGGCTCAACAAAGAAAATGGGAAGACATCGGCACGCATTTTAAAACCAGTCCCAAAAAAATCGGATAAAAACCTGATTTTTGGCGATTATTTAAAGTGGATGACGCAATGCTGCGTCATCCCCGGCATTACCGACAGTAAACGGATGACGCAATGCTGCGTCATGCCCGGGCGAAAGTGTTAAGGCGCATATGTTAAAAGTCATCATACAGCGTGTCAATACCCATGTGTTGATACACGTGGAGGGGAGATGGGAAGGTCAGTGTGAGGTGGGGGGGGGGGGGGGTGACCAGGCAGTATGTGTGATCTGTGTCTGTCCAGTCTCGCCCACCCACCCAATTGTTCACCCACCTGCCAACCCACCCTCCTGTTCACCCACCTGCTTGCATGCTCACCTGCCAACCCACCCACCTGTTCACCCCACCTTCCTGCTCACCCACCCACCTGCCTGATAGCCCACCCAGCCACCTGTTCACCCACCTTCCTGCTTGCCCACCCACCTGCCTGATAGCCCACCCAGCCACCTGTTCACCCCACCTTCCTGCTTGCCCACTCACCTGCCTGATAGCCCACCCAGCCACCTGTTCACCCACCTTCCTGCTTGCCCACCCACCTGCCTGATAGCCCACCCAGCCACCTGTTCACCCACCTTCCCGCTCTCCCACCCACCTGCCTGATAACCCACCCAGCCACCTGTTCACCCACCTGCCTGTTCACCCACCCACCTGCTCGATAGCCCACCCAGTAACCTGTTCACCCATCTGCCTGTTTGCCCACCCATCCACCTGAATGCTCACCCACCCACCTGTTCACCCACCTGCTTGCATGCCCACCTGCCATCCCACCCACCTGCCAACTCACTTGCTGCTCGCTGACCCGCCTGCATGCCCACCTACCAACCCACCCACCAGTTCACCCACTTTGTTGCTCGCCCACCCACCTGCCTGATAGCCCACCCAGCCACCTGTTCACTCATCTTCCTGCTCGCCCACCCACCCACCTGAATGCTCGCCCACCCACCCACCTGAATGCTTGCCCACCCACCCACCTGAATGCTTGCCCACCCACCCACCTGAATGCTCGCCCACCCACCCACCTGAATGCTCGCCCACCCCCCTCCTGAATGCTCGCCCACCCCCCCCACCTAAATGCTCGCCCACCCCCCCCCACCTAACTGCTCGCCCACCCACCCACCTGAATGCTCGCCCACCCCCCTCCTGAATGCTCGCCCACCCCCCCACCTGAATGCTCACCCACCCACCTGAATGCTCGCCCACCCACCCACCTGAATGCTTGCCCACCCATCCACCTGAATGCTCGCCCACGCACCCACCTGAATGCTCGCCCACCCACCCACCTAAATGCTCGCCCACCCACCCACCTGAATGCTCGCCCACCCCCCTCCTGAATGCTCGCCCACCCCCCCCCCCACCTGAATGCTCACCCACCCACCTGAATGCTCGCCCACCCACCCACCTGAATGCTTGCCCACCCACCCACCTGAATGCTTGCCCACCCATCCACCTGAATGCTTGCCCACCCATCCACCTGAATGCTCGCCCACCCACCCACCTGAATGCTCGCCCACCCACCTAAATGCTCGCCCACCCACCCACCTGAATGCTCGCCCACCCTCCTCCTGAATGCTCGCCCACCCCCTCCCACCTGAATGCTCGCCCACCCACCCACCCACCCACGTATTCATCCACCCACCCACCTGTTCATCCACCCACCCACCTGTTCATCCACCCACCCATTTGTTCACCCACCCACCTGCCAATCCACCCACCCACCTGTCTGATAGCCCACCCACCTGCCTGATAGCCCACCCACCTGCCTGCTCACCCACCCACTTGCCTGCTTGAACCTGTTCACCCACCAAGCCCATCTGCCTGCCATCCACCCATCCAAAACCCACCTGCCTGAACCCACCTATCCCTGCCTGCCCACCCACCCACCTGCCTGCCCACCCACTTTCCCTGCCCACCTACCAGCTAGGCAGCTAACCACACACCCAGCCCCACACACTAATTAGTGTGTGTGAATTCAAATCATGAGCGTGGTATAAAAATTGTTGGAAATGGTCCTATTTGGACTCAGAGGTGAAAAAGTACTCTTATCCAGAAAACGTGATTATCCGGCAGGGGGTCCTTCCCATATAGTTCGGATAATCGAGTGGAGATATGGTGACAATAATAGATGTAGATGTAGGTGGATGTAAACCTGGAGATATTTATCTCGGTATACTTTGACTATAGTGAACAGTGGTACGGTGAATAGTGAACAGTGACACAACAGGCATAAAGGCTTGAAAGTGTAGGTAAATTGCCATGTGGAAAAGTTGGAACGTATAATTCAGTGAATAGTGAGCAACACAGAAGCACCACAAACCAGACTGTGTGTACAGCGGCCACAAGGCTTGACCTGTGTATACACTCGGTAAACTGTGAAGGATCGCCCCTCCCCCCTTCACCATTGGTAAACAACCACTGGTCCACTGCCTTATCACCCCAACTGACCAGAAGCATTATGGTAAGAATGCCTTTAGTAAAGATGTGCACAGAATGCAACAAGGAAGTAGATTACCACCAGAGCTCCAGGGTCAACTATGTTCAGCAGCCATACACAGTAAATGTGCCAACATTACAAATAATGCTAGGAAAAATGGTCTCGGAGACCGCTCGGTGTACTGGTTCTGCAAAAAGGATATTACTGTCTTGAAGATGATCACACTTCTGGATAAAATCTCAGCAGAGCACAGAGAATCACTTTTAACTTCCTGCTCAAAATTCATGAATGTTTTCAAACAAATTGTTAAGGACACTCAGGTAAAATCAGATTTGGAGCCAGATCCCAACACGATCGTGGAGCCAGGCCCCAGTGCGGTTGTGGAGCCAGATCCCAGTGCGGTTGTGGAGCCAGATCCCAGCGCAGTCGTGAAGCCAGACCTCAGCGCGGTCATGGAACCAGATCCCAGCATGGTCTTAGAGCTAGAGCAGAGCATGGTTGGGAAGCTGGATGCGATGTTGGCTCCAGGGGTTTTGAAACAACCAATTCAAGGGCCTAAAACCTGCCAATATTATATATGGGGTATCTGTAAACATGGGATATCGGGAAGAACAAATGGAACATGTAAATATAATCATCCCAGAAAGTGCAGGAACCTTCTTAGTACAGGTAAATGTACCAAAAGCTGTGATTTCTTTCACCCAGAACTGTGCAAAATTCTTAAAATAAGAATGAATGTTTCAACACAGAATGTCCAGCTTTTCATATAAAAGGTACCAGGCACATAAGACCAACAGACTGCCTCGATGAAAGCAGCCATGCCACTATTTACCAGGATGATTTTTTACTAAGAGGAGAAGAAGAATGGCTAACAATGTCCAGACTCTACCACCAACTCTGTCAAATGCTAGAGAGGACACAAACACAGTGGCCTCCCTACCAGAGCCTCAGATAGTAACACCAAGTAAAGCATCCAGCACTTCCACAAACATAACATCATTTTTATTTGCCAACATTCAGGGTATAAATACATGCAAATTTAACAAAGTTTACTTTATAGATGGCCTCCTACATGAAGCAAATGCAGTGTTTGCAGCCCTAACAGAAACACACACAAAGGACTACCATGATGGTGAAATGTGGATTTTGGAGTACAATCTTTTCAGATGTGACAGTAAACACAGGCTACAGGGTGGGATCAGCCTGTACATCAAAGACACACTCATCTGTACTGAGCTGCTAAACACCACAAACAATATGGTGGAAGTGCTGATAATCCAAACAGAGATCTTAAATGTAGTTATTGTCCTTGTATATAAGTCACCGGAGGCAAATCCTCAGCAGTTTAAAGACCAACTAATGAAAATAGAACACTGCTTAGAAAACCTCACAAATCCAGCCCCAAACATCATCCTGCTTGGGGGACTTCAACCTACAACCTGTTTTATAATGTACCGTATTTGCCAGTGTAAAAGATGCACTGTCGCATAGTATGCACCCCTATTTTACAAGGATATTTTTTTGGGAAAAAACTATTTTAGTACATTATGTTTCATCATACATTTATTAAAAAATATTTTAAATTGGATTTTGTTCCACAACTCTTACCTCCTCCTAGATTAGCTTAGTTGCATAATTGTTTATGTTTTGGGTGAGGGAATTGCTATACAGGATGTCAAACTTGTATTTTTAGATGTGATACTTTGTTGCAGCATCAGGCCACCAGGGCAGCGCATCATCACAGTGCTCTGGTGTTATCATTATTCACGCATTGCAAATGGTTGACACGGGAATGAAAGTTGAACATTCCTTTCAAATTTCTAGGATCATTTTTCATTTAGATAATGAATAAATGTCTTAAAAGTAACACAGTTGTTAAATAATATTTGACATATATACATACTAATTACTGTACTGGGTAAGATATTGTGAGCTTCCTTCATAACTACTGACGTATCATAGGTTTGTGATGAGAGACTGTGATAATGTGGCTTGCTCTCAATATTTTATTATTGGCAATGATTTTTGTGCCTAGTGAACTTTCTCACTATGCTTGTCCAGCTCCCTAGCCTATGCCCCTTGGTCTACCATCCGTAATACGGCCGCATTAGATGCAGAGCACTTTTTTAATACCTTTAAAAATAAAAAAGTGAGTCTTCTACGCCGGAAAATACTGTAATTTGTAAAATATTATGTCACATTTAGGTTTGATTAAAAATTTTTAAGCACTGTTCAAAAGTTTACACTTTGATTTGGTGGATCTTGGATGATGATAACACAGCTTGGCCTTGTCAATGGCTTGGATGAATAATCCTCACTTAATTGAGTATTTGTTTGTTTCACTGAACATTTTGTACCAAATACAGTTTGATTGGACAATCCATGATTTCATTAGTGTGATTGTTAGAATGAAATTTGTTAGAATTTTGTTAAGTCATAATTTAAATATTTTCTTTCCAGAGCTTATATGGCACAGCGATGAACATTAAAGATATGAAGGATAGTCAGCGGATGCATTTGCTTAGCCGAGACTTGGAAAATATTCATTTCAGCCTTGAGGTAACATATTTTTTATATAATACAATGTGCTCACACATTCACCTCATTTTTTTGTCCATACATATGCGTGCATATTCACTCGCATGCCAGCATATATTTAAACCAAAGACATACACAGATTACATAGCATTGACAGCATATGGGGAGCTGGCATATATAAAAATAGCCATGTGAAATCTAGGGGAGGATTTTTTTTCTCTAACTCTTTCCAAGACAATTTACAAAGCCTGCATGATACCATTATTAGAATATCCAATACTAGAATGAAATTCACAGTTGAAGTCTAACATATCCATAAACAGCTCAAGCAGTGGAATAGGGCACCATGGAAATAAACACCAAAAAAACAGCATTGAATGTAATGAAACTTCTCTTTCTGGTTGGGCCTCAGTAGCTCCCTGGTATTAGCTGCACAGAGATAGTTCCACACTAGTTATCCTCACTATATAATCTAGAAAAGAATGGGGACATTGGAACAGCTGATAAACTAAATTTCAAGAGAGGACACTATGGGGAACTTAGAAAATTCTTTAATGAGTTTAATTAGACAGACTTGTTGCTAGGTACAGTGGTACCTCAGCTTACGAATTTAATCCATTCCCAGAGACGGTTCGTAAGCAGAAAATTTGTAAACTGAAGCGAATTTTCCCATAATAAATAATGAATTAATCTGTTCCACACTTCCCAAAAAATTAACTTCAAAGTAAATTTTATACCTAATTCACCCAAATCTTTAGTACTAAAGTATGTACAAGTTATTGCTTACCTTTATTGATGACTTTTGTTGGCGTATGGAAGACGGTGAGGAGGGGGTGGGGGGGGAAGAGTAGGAGAGGTGTTTAGTGCTTGGAAGGAGAGGAAAGGTTAGTGCCCTGCATACCACTAGGACCTGCTTGTGGCTCTCTGCTTGTTTTTCTCACTAAAAACCTGTCTAGTGACACTTGTTTTTCCCTATGTTATAACACTTACCTGAAGTGAGACATCACATTGTCATTAAAAAGGTTAACACAATGGCCTACTACAGCTTGCTCTGGGTGAATTAATAACAACTTTCCAACATCCTTAAGTGTTTGTGTGTTCTTTGTTTCATGATTGTTGATATGCCTCTTGCCACGTTAGCACTCATAATGTCCATTTTCTTAGCAATTACAGTGCATATTGTTGACATAGCTTTGTTGTACTGTCTAGCTAATTTAACAACCTGTGTACCATTTTCATGTTTACAAATGATCTCTTGTTTTTCCAATATGGTAATTCTCACATGTGTTTTCTTGGCTTGAACCTTACCACTGGCTTTCTTGGAACCCATGGCGAGATATGTAATAACAACTTTAATGTTCAAATAGCTAAAAATCCGAATAACTCTGAAATTCTTTATAAAGAATTCAGGCACGATAGTCACTAGGCGGGAGGCACTGGTAAACTGAGGTGCGGTCACCGTATCAAAACGTGCTAGGTTGGCCATACGCACATCAATAAACTTAGTTTCTCGAGGCAAAGTTCATAACCCGATTTGAATTTTACGAAGAAATCGGGCTCGTGACCCGAAAAGTTAGTAAATTGGGGCATTCGTAAGCCGAGGTACCACTGTAAATGGAAGTATGCAAATTTTTTTAAAATATACTAGTACAATGAAGACACACAAACATTCATACCAAAACAGAGATGCATGACCAGAAAACAGGACTGGTTGAACAGAAATTGTGAGAGAGCCAGAGAGGATAAGACAAGAAAATGGGTTCAATATCGGAAGAAGCCTAACCCACAAACATACCAACACTACAACAAGCAAGAAACGATTACACAGCATTGAGGAGAGAGGCAGAAAGGAACATTGAGAAAGGTATAACAGACAAATGTAAAACAGATCCAGGCCTTTTCTATAAATTCATTAAAAGCAAGCTGCGTGTTAAAGATAAAATCCAGGGATTGAGAACAGGGAACAGGATTACTGAAAATGAAAAAAGAAGTGTGTGAAATGCTAAATGAACAGTTCCAAAGTGTGTTTGTACGAAATAAGGATTTCATAGAGCTGGACCAAATACCAATTCCAGAGCACGTCATAGAATATATAGAGATATCTCAAGACGAAGTGGAAAAATTACTCCAGGGGCTAGGAAGAAATAAAGCGGTTGCACCTGAAGGAGTATCACCTTGGGTGCTGTGAGAATGGGCAACTGAGCTGATCATTCCACTTATTTAATATTCCAGACATCATTGTGCACAGGAATCTTAGCAGATATATGGAAAAAAAAAACATGGTACCAATCTATAAAAATGGTAGCTGGGAGGAACCTCTAAATTATAGGCCTGTATCATTAACAAGCGTGGTAGTCAAAACACTAGGACAAATAGTGAGACAAATGGGTTGACCACCTAGAGAGTAATAACATAATGGACAGACAGTATGGTTTTTGAACAGGAGGGTCGTGTGTAACATATCTTCTTAATTTTTATGATAGAGCCACAGAGATAATATAGGAAAGAGGTGGTTAGATTGACTGTGTCCATCTGGACCTAAAAAATGATTTTGACAGAGTCCCACACAAGAGGCTGTTCTGGAAACTGGAACATGCTAGAGGGGTGACAGGGAGACTTCTGACATGGATTAAAAAATTTCTAACTGACAGATGAGGGCAGTAATCAGAGACAATGTATCTGACTGGAGGAGTGTTACTAGCGGAGTACCACAGGGTTCAGTTCTCACACCAATAATGTTCATTGTCTACATAAACAATCTACCAGAAGGAATACAGAATTATATGAACATGTTTTCAGATGATGCTAAGATACTGGGGAAGATAGGAGATGCAAACAATTGTAATGCAATTCAAATTGATCCAGATAAAATAAGTTCATTGAGCGACAAGTGGCAAATGGAATTCAATGTGAATAAATGCCATGTTATGGAATGTGGAATCGAAGAAAATAGACCACACACAACTTATAAATTATGTGGAAAGGAATTACAGGAAAGGAATAAAAGAACTCTAATAAAGAATGAGACCTAGGGGTGGTTTTGGATAGTGAGCCATTGCTAGAGGAACACACAAAACCAGTGTTGAATGAAATGAAAAGCCATTTTATGGGTGAGCCCTAGAGGCTCCTTGAAGCTATTCAGACTGATATGTGCTACATTAGTTTGGGGTCATCAGTTACGGGAGTTCTTGTGTTTACTGGGGACCACGAGCCAGAACCTGGCCCTCTCAGAGAGGCGCAGGAAGTAATGGCCATATGAGCACTCTACATTTAGAGTATGCCATCAACTGAGGAGTAACCCCAGAAAGGCAGGTGAAGCAATACAAACCCCTAACTGGTGAAAATTGCAATCTATGCTTGAACAGAGCAAAAGAACTTCCCCCAAAATTAAAGTCAAATCATCATCAACCTAGCACGCTCGTTCATTAGCGCTCGGGCGAACAGGTAGCTCACCACCTCAGTTTGTAAAATGATGATGAAAACTGCCAACTGGAGGGAGGGTGGGTGTCAGGGAGCTTCTGGGGCTCACCCAGAAAATGGTGTTTACATTCAACGCTGGTTTTCTGTGGGGAGCCCTTTCAGCTTCCTGAAGCTAACTACCCACAGATAAGCAGGGACATGCCCGGGAGGCATCAGCACCACAGGTCTCGCAACGAAGATGAGACATTTGGCCACTACAGATGCCCCAAAGCAACACAAGGCTGGAGAGAGCCTGGAACGTTGACAAGATAACAGGCGGCCAGGACCTCGTCTGGACACCAAAACCTCCGCACCAGATAGGCAACACAAGACACATTACCAAAGACAGAAGCCAGATCAGTATATGTATGCACATCATGGGCATAAGGGTAGACCGCAGGCTGGCTGGAATTGATAACCCTGCGGACAACCTGAGAAACACGAGCCCTGGAACAGTGAACCAGGGAAACCGGATCTTCCCAGAGTGCGACCACTGTCACCAAAATAGTGGCCCGCAGGTAGTGACAGAAAGGCACAACTGGACACAAAACATGATGCACCCTTGGCCTAACTACCCAAGCATCAAAACCCATGGGCACTTCCAGAAGCCAGCCATCTCATTCTTTGCCAGAAAGAAGAAGGGCTACAAGATTTTGCCACACAAGGCAAAATCTAGAGAGGAAAGCGAGGCCAGCGGTAACATATGACCCCAGTGCACATCAGTCAAGAACTGGAGTGGTGAGCTGCCAGCTCTAGTGAGCGGGCTCCCTCACTCCCCTTTCGGGGAAGGGGGAAGGTGCTAACGAGGTGGTGTGAGGATGATTTTTTTTTTTTTTTTTTTTTTTTTTTTTTTTTTTTTTTTTTTTTTTTTTTTTTGTGCTCTGTTTGGACATAGGTTGCAATTTTCACCAGTAGAGGGTTTGTATTGGTTTGCCTATCTCTGGGTGCTTTTCCCTGTCAATGGCAGACATGACATACTCTAAATGTAGAGTGCTCATATGGCCATTGCTCACTGTGCCTTTCTGAGGGGGGACCAGGTTCTGGCTCGTAGTCCCTGGTAGGCAAGAACTCCCATAACTGATGACCCCAAACTAATATAGCACATATCAATCTTGATAGCTTCAGGGAGCCAACTGGAGCTGACGTGAAAGAGTGTTCTGCCCCAGGGCCCTTGCTTGCAGTTCCCAGGGCTTGGGGAAGGTAGTTCAATTGGAGGTCTTGGGTTCCTTTTGATCCTTCATGGGCCCTTGTGCCTTCTTTGGAGGGTCTCTTGTTGCAGGGTGTGCAGTTTTCTTCTCCCCCTTCCCTTTAAGTTTGTGTTATGCGGGGCTCCCCCAGGATTTGGTTCCAGTTGCCTTTGGGCTTCTCGGATTCATCTTTCCAGCGGTTTCCTTCTTTTTGGGTCCCTCCTGGCAGGAAGCCCTTGGTGCGTACCTCCTGCGTGGCCTAGCAGCTGGTTTGTGTGCTTTTCCTACAGCTTCTTCTCTGGCTAGTCAGTGCTGTGCTCACTCTGTTCAAATTGGGCCAGTTGTGGTGAATGAGTGCGAAGAACGAAGCTGTGA